AAGGGTTATGGACAGATCTCGTCCATTGATGTGTTAAGAGGAGTTGTACCCAAAGTGTTAAAGTTAATGTATGTATGAGCTATGTTGTTGTTTCTTAGTCGCACAGATTGACGAGGGAGAGCTGCTCAGAATGCCCACCTGGGGGTTGGTGCAGAGGCAGAAGGGGAGAACTGCAGCTACCACATAAATAAGGGGCAGGTCTGATTGTCTATGATTTTACACTTTTGTATGTTTTCTCCTACTACCTTCATCCCATAATGTAAGACATTTTTTCATATTAGTGTAGTGTCAAAAAGCGTCTTACATTATGGGACGAAGGGAGTAGTTATGAATGATTCCTTGTGTGCTGTAAGATGAACTAAACCAATGAAAGGTTGTTGAGGTAGTCGTTGCTGCCCACCCTGGCATTAAAGATGCCGCTTGTATTGCGCATTACATCAATCATGGTTTAACGGGGATGATAATGTTTGTTGCACGGTTTGTCGTGCACAAATCTGAAAAATGGGCCGGTGTTTCACATAGTGAGCAAGGCAATTGCAACGACCAGGTGCTGCATTTTCTTTTCTTTTTTTCATAAGCATACCTGTTGAGTATATTATTTGTGCATGCATATTGACTAGGCCCATCTCTTCAGTTTGTCGTATAGATTGAGGTAGAGATTCCACCTTGTACATCATATATACGTGCCTATGCACGAGAGCAATACATCGTGCAATCATAATCTCATACATGGTATCAGTTTTTAGGTTTTTCGTTTCCGCCGCCGCCGCGCACCACCTCTGCGCCGCCGCCGCCGCCGCCGCTCGCGCGACATACGCGCCGGCCGCCGCTTCTCCTCTCCCTGCGTGCGTGCTGCCCTAGCCGCCCGCACTTGCCCCGCATCTCCAGCACACGCGCGTGATCGCCCGCGAGCCGCCGCTCCACCAATCTCTAGGCCCGCGCCGCTGCACCATCGCATCGCCAGCGCACGATCGCTAGCCCCGCCGTTTGCTTCATCCAGACTCGTAGCTAGCTTACGGTGCGCCGTTTCAGTTTGCATGAAAAAAGAACCTCATGTGAAGATGCATGCAGCCAGCTTACCGTGTGTACTGGATTTGGAGACGTCCGGCCGCGCGGAGCTGGTCGCCGGCCAGCCTGCTCTCGCCGCTTCTGCCGTCCCGCCGCTGACGCCCTCTGGCCTGGCTCCGCCATCGACGCCCTACGGCGCGGCCTCGCCAGCCCGCCCCGACCTGCCGCACGGCTCGGCTCCGCTGCCCCCGCTGGTGTACGTCGCCGCCCCACCACCGGCGCTCTCCGGCCAGTCCGTCGTCGCCCCGCCGCCCGCGCCGACTCTGCCCGTCGACCCCTTGCTGTTGCGCAGGGCGTTTGACGCGCCCGTGTACGGGGCTCCCGAGTACTGGTGGGGGTCGTCAGCAGGCCAGCACTCGCCCGCTGGGCAGCAGGTTTTTTCGGCGGGCCATCCAGCCTACCCGGCACCGCAGTCGCAGCCAGGGCTGCTTCCCATACCGTTTGGAGAGTACCCATCGCCGCTGCCGAGCGGTGGCTACGGCCTCCCCATGGCGTCTCCGTCCCCCTCGCCGACTCTACCGCCGGCGCCATGCGACCCGGTGCTCCTTCCCGCATTGCATGCCGCTCCTACGCCGAACAACTACACCAGAGGTGATGAGTGGTACATGGACACCGGGGCTACGGCTCACATGTTTGCTAATCCTGATAATCTTGCCTCCTTTACTCCCGTCATCATCGACCGCCGCATCATTGTCGGCGAAGGTTCCACACTCCCTATCACACATGTCGGGCACACTTCTTTTCCGTCTAATTCCATGCCTATTACTTTGTCTAACATACTTGTGTCACCTCATCTTATTAAAAACCTTGTTTCGATTCGTCGTTTAACTCGTGAAAATCCTGTTACTGTTGAATTTGACGAGCTTGGATTTTGTGTCAAGCACGCTCAAACCAGGATGGTACTTCACCGATGTGACAGCCTCGACGAGCTCTATTCAGTGCATTCGCCGTCCACCTCCACCACCGCACCGATTGATCTCTCCGCCGGCGTCGATCTCTGGCACGCTCGTTTGGGTCATCCCAACCCCGTCACACTTCATCATATTCTTAAGAGTTTCAGTTTCAGTTGTCATAAGATGGAGGATCACACCTGTCATGCCTGTCATGTCGGCAAACATGTTCGCCTCCCGTTTAATAACTCCACCACGATAGCTTCTTTTCCTTTTCAGTTGATTCATAGCGATGTGTGGACCTCTCCGGTTCCTAGTAATTCGGGCTATTTATATTATCTGGTTATCCTTGATGATTATTCTCGTTATATGTGGACTTTACCTTTGCGCAGAAAGTCAGATGCACTCTCCACTTTGACGGCTTTTTACTCCTATATCAGCACGCAGTTTGGGCGTCCCATCCTTGCTCTTCAGACTGACAATGGAAAAGAGTTCGACAACCTTGCTTTCCGCACTTTTCTGTCACATCACGGCATAGTTTTTCGTCTTACATGCCCGTATACTTCCCAGCAGAACGGTCGAGCCGAACGCGTCCTTCGCACTCTGAACGACTGCGTTCGCACGCTCCTGTTCCATGCTAATCTGCCGCCTCGTTTCTGGCCGGACGCACTCGCCACTGCTTCTCTTCTCCTTAACCTTCGCCCTTGCCGCCCACGATGGAACTATGCACCTCACCATCTTCTCTTCGGTACGGCCCCATCTTATGATGGCTTGCGTATCTTCGGGTGTCTTTGCTATCCTAGCATTGCGGACTCCGCTCCTCACAAACTCGCACCTCGTTCTATCGCTTGCATCTTCATCGGCTACCCCTCCAACTCCAAGGGATATCGGTGCTACGATCCCGTCTCCCACCGTGTGTTCACTTCCCGACACGTTTACTTTGATGAGCATGTGTTTCCGTTTCACCAGGTACCCCCGGCTGTTCCTCCCGCCACCGGTGACGAGGGCTCCTTGACGCCTCTCCCAGGGCACTCGCGCGCCTCTCTTGGCCCGCCCCTGGCTTTGAGGCGCGCCCCTGCATACGACGCCTCCTACAGCCGCGGCGCTTGCACCCCCGGCGCCCCCGACGTTGGCGCCCGCGGCCCCAGCGGCGCCCTCGGCACCCCCGGTGCCCGCGCCCCCCCCCCGGTGCCCCCAGCCCCCTCGGCACCCCAGGTGCCCGTGGTGCCCCCGATGCCAACGGCCCCTCCGGCGCCCGCGGCCCCCTCGGGGCCCCCGGCGCCTATGGCCGGTCCGGTCACCCGGGCCCGTACGGGCGTTTTTCGCCCGAGCTCGTGCTACGCCTCGGATGACTACGTCCATGCGGCGTCCACCTCTGAGCCGTCGCCGTTGCCGTCCTCCGTTTGAGCCGCTCTTCGTGACCCGCTCTGGATGGCTGCGATGCAAGAGGAGTTTGACGCCCTGTTGCGCAAGCGGACGAGGCAGCTTGTTCCCCGTCCCCGACACGCCAACGTGATTACCAGGAAGTGGGTCTTTAAACACAAGCTCCGTCCTGATGGTACCCTTGATCGCTACAAAGCGCGCTGGGTTGTTCGTGGTTTCCAACAGCGTGCTGGCATCGACTTCACCGACACCTTTGCTCCGGTCGTCAAGCCCAGCACGATACGCACGGTTCTCCACCTTGCGGTCTCCCGTGCTTGGCCGGTGCATCAGATGGACGTCTCCAACGCCTTCCTCCATGGTCACCTCGAGGAGCAGGTCTTCTGCCAGCAGCCCACCGGGTTCGTCGACCCGGCGCTTCCCGACCACGTGTGCCTGCTTTCGCGGTCCTTGTACGGACTCAAGCAGGCTCCGCGTGCTTGGTACCAGCGCATCGCGGCGTTTCTCCACCAGCTTGGGTTCCGCTCTACCAGCTCGGACGCCTCGCTCTTCGTCTATCATCAGGGCTCTAACACGGCGCCCAACCTCTTTAGTTTGTTGTATATTGACTAGGCCCACCTCTTTAGTTTGTTGTATAGATTGAGATAGAGGCCCCACCTTGTACATCATATATACGTGCCTATGCACGAGAGCAATACATCGTGCAATCATAATCTCATACAATACCAAACAAACAACACACGCAGCTAGCAGGTTAGTGCATGCA